CTTATAAAATCTTACATTTCCAGAAGGCCACTTGTGTTCTCCTGTCACCTTGTTGTAAATAAACAGAGTCTGTCCTGACTTACACTTGTATTCTACCCAGTCAGTAGCCATCTTGGTCGCCATCACATGCAGGAGGTACACCACCTGACTTCAAGACGGTCTGATTTTTCTAAACCTTTATGATGTAAATGTTTAAAAATGCACAAAAATTACTGTGAAAACCTAGATTGCTAACCTGGACTGTCGCTGAAAGCCTCTAAATGAGTACAACTTTATAGAACTAAAGAAAACTACAAGGCGTTACTAACGCAAGCCTCGCTTCGAAATATACAGGAACCCCGTTTGAAAGCTTTTATTTAGGAGCGACATAAAAAGAAATAATCAGGGAAAAAGAACAAGGTTGCTAGAATGRCCCCAAAATTAGCCCAAAATCTTTGTCAAAACTTATTCTCCTGAATATCGGGCCAACAGAATGACATATAAACACATCTAATCAAAATCGACATTCCAACTCTTTGAAATGAATTGCTAGACAACACAAGAGTACCGGTTCCAAAAAATGTGATTTAGATGCAGTCACTGACAATGTTCTTGGAAAAAAAAACAAGCCCCGAGCGTGAAGCCATTTTAGCTCTTCTTGAATATAAAATAAGAATTTATGATAAAAATTAAAAATTTGAAAAAAGAAAACAAAAACGTTTGATACAATGTTTTAGAGTGAAACGGATTATGTTGCACCAATCTAGAACAATTTGTTCAAATTTAAAGTGCGTTCAAAATGATAATATTAACAAAAAAGAGCAGAAAAGAAAAAGAAAAAGAAGAAGGAGAAAAAAAAAGAAGAAGAAAAAAAAAACGAGTACAAAACGGTCACCCATCCGAATGGATGATCGTTGCGCCCAGCCACGAGGGAGGTGATTAGTCGGATCCTGGTCCATTAGTGACTAACCCCTTCTGGTTTGCATGTCTTTTCAAGTTACAATTATTGTAGTCTATTATACGCACGGACTCCACTTGGTGAGCGTTTGCTTGAATGAGTACACCAGACGTCAAGAGTATTATAAAAGTTTCAAATTTCAAATAAAGATTTGTGTAATAGTGTTAAAATATGAGTACTCCGGTATTGGGACAAAATGTATCACACAACTGAAAATAAATTTTCAAAATCGATCTTTATCTTGTCAACATGCTCTCATTGAAATAATATTCTTTTGAAAATATATAAAAAAAGTGTGTGATTTTTCGGCCCCACATGGAAGAACGGATCAGTACTAAGTATAAATCGTAAGTAAGTATAAATCGATATCATGGTTTTCCGCTCGCCTAACTAATAGGTGAAACGTGTCTGCCCATCCAATTCGCTTTTTGATGGTTCCTTTTTTCTTTCTTCATTCTTCTATGGAAATGTTYTAACATAAAATGTTAGCAATTACACATCAATTTTTATGCCGCTATAATATTCTCTCAGTACCAGAATGGCAGAAGTGTTTTATCAAGTCGACTTGCCTGTTTATTGAACGGCTTTGAAAACTAATTTGAAGCTCAACAAAAGCACTCTTGGAGAAATGGTCGTAAAATTTTAAAGTTTTGAGATAAATGGGGCAACCTTTTCATGCGCGAAACACTCAGTCAAATGGCGCGCACTGACCAAATCAATGCGCCGATCTCTAAACGCCAGTATGATGACTGTATCACTGGATTGAATTTCTCAGTAAAAATCCTTAGTAGYAAGTAATTCAAATAACGGCATTCTAGATCTATGATACATGGTTAAAAGGATCTTTTCTGTATATAGCGTAATGCCTCCGTTCTCGGTAACTCTTACGTAAACACAATCTTTTGGCACTGTAACATTGTTATAATCGTAAAATTTGCTTTCCCGTAATTATGCATTACGGTCCTAGCTTTCAGGGTGCAATCTTTTTGGAGCCCGACTACGTCTTTTATCGATTAAGTCTAGTACCAATAGTCTTTAAGCTAAGTATCCAGAAATCCAGCATACTGATTGGCTATTGAACTATAGCTATCACTGGAAAAAATCGCGCACCATAAAGGTTGTAAATTTGATGGAAATATGATGTAAGTGGCCAAAATGATGTAAATTTGATGGAAATGATTTATATCAAATTTACATCATTTTGGACACTTACATCATATATATACATCAAATTTACAACCTTTAAAATATTCGAAATTATAATCATAATTAGGGAAAATATAGTTCGTTGCGACCGTGATTATATGAATATATTATTCATTTAATCACGGTGGCAACGAACTATATTTTCCCATTAAATTATGATTATAATTTCGAATATTTTCATACTTTCTCAAGTGTGAGGCCAGTCTACATTTCTTTTCTGGCTATGATATACTCCATTTTTTCATACAATATTACAGTAAATATAAAATAATTTAATTTTGGTTAACTATAATTTATTTTCGTGAAGTTTGTCCTCTACGCAGTTTGGATCGATGACACTAATGCATCGTTCTCATGGATTATGAAGCTCGTGGATTAAGAAGCCGACGGGTTCCTGGGAGAATCTATCTGTTCTTATGTCCAGCCAGCTGTAAGTCACAACTGGTTGCCAGCAAGAAATTCAGGGAAACGATCTCTTCAGACAAGGAATACTTTCTAAGAATCGCCTAACTAAAAAACCTATAAGCCGTTTTTGACCATAAAAACGTTATTTAAGCCTTTTTTGACCTGGAAAATGTTTGCCAGGAACAAAATTATTTTGAAGGAAGGGTGTCACATTTGCTTGTGAGATTGTCAACAATGTAGGTCAAAATCCCTTTCCCAGGAAAAATTCGTACAAGAACAGTTATTTATAAAAACAGAACCCGTCGGCTTCTCCTGAATAATTAAAAATAAAAAACAAAAAGATAAGAGTGAAAAAAACGACAAAAAGACAGCAACTTCCAAAAACAGATTTTCTTTTAAAAGAAACACAAGGCGCAAAGTCTCTCGGACGCACATGCCCCTTTGAAACTTTTACTGAAAACTACCATGTGTTTAAAATAAGCTGAGACACTGCCGGTCGACACTGTACAGACACGACTATTAATAAATTCCAGCGACGGCAGTTTTCCCAAGTGTATTCGGCCATTTCTAAATTTACTGTAAGAGCTTTTTACCTGAGCAAATGATTACTATAAAGTAATGAATCTTAGGGCCTAAGAAGAAACAATTAAGGTATCACGGGACCTTCGTGACTGATTTCACTTAATTCTTCATAGCAAGTTAACTATTCAAGCTATGACTATAAACGTATACATTTTCTTAAAGAGGAAAATGAGCGGAACAAGACTATGCAATTTGTTTTTGGATTCGTGTTATGTATTTTTTCCAGATTGTGTTTTAAAACGTTTGACTGCACTTTTTGAAAAAGTTCCTGGAACACCGGATTTTAACCGATGTATACCTCATGCCAAAAAAGGTGTGTCATTTTTTTGATATCTTGTTGCGTTTTGAAGTTATATCAAATTTTGTATAAAAATAGCTAAAAATTACGTTTTTCAACTTTGTAAGTGGATATTTCAACAACAAACGCGTTAATCCAAAAAATGAGACATCTTTTTAGAGATCAAACAAATGAAGGCAGTAACAGTTTATTGTACCATGATAACCATAGGTGATGATCGGTAATTACCAGAGGAAGAGCACTGACTGAATAACCCGCTGCATTCCTCACGTTACTATCAGTATTATACAAGTGTTTGCTTCTAGCAAGACTGCAGTTCAGTCGGCTCTTCCTCGTTCTTTATTAGCACAAAGTAATCCGGTGTTCCAGGAACTTCTTAAAAATGCCGACTGGTCAAAAATCATCAAATATCCACTTTTATCCAATCAAATCGCATAATTACAATCTCCATTTATTCAGCTTTAAGAATAGTTTAATAGTTAGCGTTCTACGAAAAGTTAATTGACCATTGGTTACGAAGGTCCCCTGATATCTCAAGGTTGTACAAGAAAACTAGACAAGATCAAAGAATTTTGTCAAGTCATACTAGACTAAAGACGAAAATCGTTTTCAAAATAAGACCCCAAAACGGCGCCTTCAGCTCTAATCTTTAACCAGATCAAACATATGTATACACTATATGTCTCTTTGACATGGCAAACTGTAGTCTTTAATAAATGCATTTTAAAATAACATCTATCGAGATAAAGTCATGGCAATCTTTTACCTATTGATATGGTTTTCTCGTAAAGTCCTTGCCTACGTATATAATGTATGATCGATGTATTCAAAAACAGACTTGCGAATTTTTCCTCAGTTGTAGTCCCACACAAAGGAATATAATCAACATGACGGGCCGTGCATAAAGCTCTCCCAATCGTGTAAAGGCAATAGTTTTTCACGCCATTGATTGAACTTTATGCATGCCTGATTCTGTTGTGATTACTTACTGACGAAATTCGAAAATCGGCGATTGACTGTATACTACTATAACAAGTTTGCATATATTATTCAATATAATCATTCCAAACTGAAAACATTACGCTTGGACATATTTTTGTCTGTTTTCGTTGCTGTATTTTGTACTTGAGAGAAGAATACTCTTAACTCATTGACTATTTAGTCACTATAACAACTTTGTATCACATTTCCAATAAATGAAACATTATACTATAACACATTTTGTCTGCTTTCCTTGATTTCTTTTGTAGCTGAGAGAAGAATCAAGAATACTGAGATTCTTCTCAGTTCGAGAAATATTTGGATGATCGTCATCATAGAAGCGCCTGTAGATGATCAGAGCTTGCTGGTAGCTGCTTCTGGCCTCACCAATTCGACCTAGTTTCTTGTATGTAATGCCTAAGTTGTTCATGGTAGCAGCCACAGATGGATGGTTTTCACCGTACACAGCTGTTTTGATTGCAAGGGCTTTCTCGTAATATGTTATTGATTCCTCCAGTCGACCTACTTCCTTATATGCAGCTCCTAAGTTGTTCATGGTATCACCCNCGTCTTTCTTTCTGTATATTGTCTCATGGGAGGGGTGCGGAGGCAATATACAAAAAGAGTTTGGTTCTGCGTTGCGCTTCTTTTCCTCTTCTAACTCTTTTTGAATTCTAGCAAGGTCTTCTGTAGGGAAACACGTCTGGTTTTCGATTTCTTCAATTCTTGTGACATCAATCTTTAAAGATGAGAACGCTATCTTGATCTTTTGTATGGACTTTTGAAACTCAGCTTTGCTCATCTTTCCCGTTTTGTTYTGTGCCATTTCATTGCGAATTTCTCGGATTTCATCAACGCTATTACTGACCACTGGTGTTAATGTCGGCCTKACACTGTCTGAGTAAAGTATGGCATAAAATAGACAAGTACAATCCCAGTTGTTTCTGTCTCCACTGGACATCAGTCCAAGAAGGCGTTTGTTTCTTGRCTGATTCTTAGCTGACTCCATGTTATAAAATGCAGTATAACTGGAAGGCGTGTCATCCCACTGACCAGGCGTACCTTTGTATAAGGCATCCCATTCTTGCTTGAAAATCTTTCGTAAAACTTCAGGTACGATGTCGAACACGATATAAGACAGCCTGAAGAAGTTCAGCTGATCTGATGTGTATTCCATTTTTAGAAAAAAAATTAATGGAAAGAAACTGAGGTACCCTTGCTTCAGTCTACCTTGATTGTTGCTGTGTGGTCACAACTGCGTTGGATTTGTTCAGTCTGTGCTCTTGTTTCCTTTATTTCACCTGAATTGCAACCATATAATATGGAAATTTAAGAAAACAACAACAAAATATTTAAAAACAACTTACATGTGGAAATCAATAAAAAGACAAATTAAGAACGTTCTTCCGATATCGGATAGAAGTCACTTCCGCTTCCTCTATATATGCGCTCAAAAAACCTTTTAGACCCTTTTAATTAATTGACAAATTGCGTGCACATAGCGGGAATTGTAGCTGTGTAATTTCAATGTAGCTCAAAGGGATTCACTCAATGCGTCTCTGAAAGATATAACGGTATGGGTTTTCTATTTGTAATATTTTGCGTCAAAAACTGGTTTTGAACATCGAAAAGGTACAGTACTCATTAATAGACCAATGCAAAAATTCATTGCTGAAATTGATTTTTATCACATTTAAAGGAAACTTTAATTTATTAAATTTGTTATCAAAGTTATTTTTTCTTTCTTTTGTGTGATTTTATTTTTTGTTGATGAGAACGCGCACAAAGTTTTCCAAGTAAAATACACGCGAGGTATCCACCCGCGAATTTAGCAGTTCGAAAGTATATTCACTACAATCAACGTATTTTTGTTGATTGAATGAGACTCTCCCGCCGTTAAGCTTCAATTTTTAATTCTTTTGACAGTTTAAATTATTAACAGTTGCTCGTGTTAAATGTATTAACTATGAACTAATTGAACAGCAATTTCCGTACGTAGGCACCAAGAGTTAGGCATCGATTCGTTAATTTACCCTGAAAAGGAACCTCGTTTGCAGGTCGTTTTTCTCTGTTTTGTTTGGTTTCTCCTTTGTTTGTGTTTCTTTTTACTTGCTTTTTTTCTTTTTTGTCAGCGGAAAAAAAAATATATGTAGTGGTATTGCAAATAATACCAAAATTCATTGGAAGCAAGCCGTTAAAATGTAAAACGAAATAGTGAAGTAGTCTTTGGCGACAGTAAGTACTGTAAAGAAAACTTTGCTAAATGATATGACGAATCGAGAATTTAATAATTTTGTTTCTTGTTTTCTTTTGTTTTGTTCAATTTGCCTTATGTTAGAAACGAGTAGAGGACTGGGGACGAGTTTCAAAAATTGGTCCACTTAAAAAATACTTTCTCAGGAGAAAAATAACAATTTGGCATTATAAAAGAGAGCTGAACTGTAGAAATTTAAAAAAGTTTATATTTATGAAGAACATGTACTCTGTTAATTTTAAGATTTTGAAAAGGTTGCAATTCAGTTCTCCTTTACACAAAGAATGTGAAACTCGATAGACTTACTAATTTAAATGTTTGCATAATTTGCGACAACTCTTTATGCCACGATTAATGYATAAATAAATTATCGTGGGAAGGGGGGGGGGCAGAGTGTACTTTATTTCGTTTGCGGGGGGGGATAGTACTCAACATTTTTGTTTTTTTGTCTCATTACTCAAAATTTCAAAATTTTCATTACTTTCTTTATCTTAAGTTCAACGTAAATAACAACTATAATTGTAAAAAATGATAAAAAAAAAAACAACTTTAACTGACAATTAATATGATATTGATATTACTTTTTAAGTTTTAAGAAGGTTTATCAACAACTCTAAACATTTTTAATCTTTTAGCTAAAGCTTGTTAGATTATCTTTTTTATGAAAAATCTAAATTCAAAGACTTGTTGATGTAGGATTGAAATTGATCAAGATATGAATTYTTTTCAACTATTGATTTTTTCAATTTATCACATAAATTGAAGATGTAGAATCTTAAATACATTTTGCCCGAGGGGGGGAGGTGGGGGGATTCCCATATATTTTCTATACGGGGACGTGCCGCTGGCCAGGGTACGGTTTTTGGCCTTGCTGTCTTAAACAGGGTATACATTTCACCCGAAATTGTCTTAAACAGGCTCTACAATTTAGATAAAAGACCGATATAATTTTTTTGTGTGTGTCTTAGACAAAAATCAGAAGTACCTGGTTATGTACTTCTGACAGAAATACCGTAGAAATAGTAGAAATACCGTTTCACTGTATTAACGTGTTATCAAAAACTTCTTATTGTCTTTGATGGATGCCAGTATAATTGCAGTTTTGATGGTTGCGGCGTAGATAGCTATTTCTTAATTTTCCGATTTGTCTTGAACAGGGTATGGATTTTTATTTTTTAGTGTCTTAAACAGGGTCAGGGATTTAGACCGCTGGCGGCACTTACCTATCCAAAACGGGGTCGAGTACCCCCCCGGGACATCTTGATAGATTTATTAGACATAACAAGCAGAAGTACCATCAAAGTCTTTTTTGACCATAAAGCATGCCATATGCAACAATATCCTTTCCTTATGTAAAAAACTTTTTATACACGATTGTCTTTCTCAAGCATCGCAGCACTAACTTTTGATAAAAATCGCAGTCTAAAGATATATTTGTAAATCCAAGAAAATAACTTTTTTTTCCTAATCTTCCTTAATTGATTTTGTTGATTGATTTGAACAATTGAAACCATAAAAACTGTGTTCTTATCCAGTCTTCTATATAGCGTTACTCACAGTAAGGTTTTTTCAAACAGACCGTGTGACCAGACAGCCAGTCTCGCGATGTCACGCGATGGCATTAAAAAGCGAAAGTGTTGATCAAATTTCATGAAATGCATGCGGTTTATTGCGTTGTTAGAAATCATATGACATCTTTTACTTTAATTTTTAGTGATATCAATGGTTTTATGATATTCGCAATGTATCTCGACAGAATTTAAAATGAAACCTCTTGAGTGTAGCTTGCAATTAAAAATTTATAGACATTATAGCAGGCCCTGCTACTGATATAGATTACTTCTCTTTTTGTTGTCCATAAGTCTATCAAATCATATTAAGAATATAGAATCATATAAAAGTATTTCAAGGACCCAAGAATGATCATCAATCCCATGTAATGGCTTCCGGTTTGTCTGTCGCCTCAGTAGTAACCGACTTAGAGCCGTTGGAAACTCGATCACTTGTCACAAATTTAAGAGATTCCTTACTAAAAGTATGAACTGTTCAACTTACCAATCTTCTGTTTGTCGCTTCATTTAAGAAAACAGTGCTCTGATCTAGAGGAATCGATCTGAGTTGAAGCCAAACAGTGCAATGGTAATTTCCCCGNAGAATCTTAAATACATTTTGCCCGAGGGGGGGAGGTGGGGGGATTCCCATATATTTTCTATACGGGGACGTGCCGCTGGCCAGGGTACGGTTTTTGGCCTTGCTGTCTTAAACAGGGTATACATTTCACCCGAAATTGTCTTAAACAGGCTCTACAATTTAGATAAAAGACCGATATAATTTTTTTGTGTGTGTCTTAGACAAAAATCAGAAGTACCTGGTTATGTACTTCTGACAGAAATACCGTAGAAATAGTAGAAATACCGTTTCACTGTATTAACGTGTTATCAAAAACTTCTTATTGTCTTTGATGGATGCCAGTATAATTGCAGTTTTGATGGTTGCGGCGTAGATAGCTATTTCTTAATTTTCCGATTTGTCTTGAACAGGGTATGGATTTTTATTTTTTAGTGTCTTAAACAGGGTCAGGGATTTAGACCGCTGGCGGCACGTACCTATCCAAAACGGGGTCGAGTACCCCCCCCCCGGGACATCTTGATAGATTTATTAGACATAACAAGCAGAAGTACCATCAAAGTCTTTTTTGACCATAAAGCATGCCATATGCAACAATATCCTTTCCTTATGTAAAAAACTTTTTATACACGATTGTCTTTCTCAAGCATCGCAGCACTTCACTTTTGATAAAAATCGCAGTCTAAAGATATATTTGTAAATCCAAGAAAATAACTTTTTTTTCCTAATCTTCCTTAATTGATTTTGTTGATTGATTTGAACAATTGAAACCATAAAAACTGTGTTCTTATCCAGTCTTCTATATAGCGTTACTCACAGTAAGGTTTTTTCAAACAGATCGTGTGACCAGACAGACTGTCGTGACAGCCAGTCACGCGATGTCACGCGATGGCATTAAAAAGCGAAAGTGTTGATCAAATTTCATGAAATGCATGCGGTTTATTGCGTTGTTAGAAATCATATGACATCTTTTACTTTAATTTTTAGTGATATCAATGGTTTTATGATATTCGCAATGTATCTCGACAGAATTTAAAATGAAACCTCTTGAGTGTAGCTTGCAATTAAAAATTTATAGACATTATAGCAGGCCCTGCTACTGATATAGATTACTTCTCTTTTTGTTGTCCATAAGTCTATCAAATCATATTAAGAATATAGAATCATATAAAAGTATTTCAAGGACCCAAGAATGATCATCAATCCCATGTAATGGCTTCCGGRTTGTCTGTCGCCTCAGTAGTAACCGACTTAGAGCCGTTGGAAACTCGATCACTTGTCACAAWTTTAAGAGATTCCTTACTAAAAGTATGAACTGTTCAACTTACCAATCTTCTGTTTGTCGCTTCATTTAAGAAAACAGTGCTCTGATCTAGAGGAATCGKTCTGAGTTGAAGCCAAACAGTGCAATGGTAATTTCCCCGAATAACAGGAAGCGTGAAATCGAGGCTAAGTTATTAATAGGTATGAGGCATTTCTTACTCTATGACCACAGGAAGCCCGTACAAGCTCAAGAATAGACCATTGGCCGCTGATGGAAGCAAGAGTTTCAGTACTGAACTGTCGTCTTTTTGTTGTCTTAATGATAACGGAGTGTCTAAACGTCAGGCTGTCGATTTTTTTTATTTTTTTATTTTTAAATCGTCGGAACAACCGTAATTTCAATTAATACTTGAAATGCAATGAAGACCGAAATAATTCTGTTCGACAAATTTGTATAGTCATATAGTCACAAGCACGGKACTTTGAGATTTTTTGACTYCCTGACGTTTAMTCCCAGAACTAAACATCAGGCAGTGGATATTTTTTGTGAAAAATCGTCGGAGTAGCCGTAATTTCAATTAAAGTGCATATATGGGWTCAGAATTTTGATTAAAGRAATAGTTTAGACTGTCATGAATTATGTTTGGTAGGTTAAACTACCTGCTTGTCGTTGAAGACAACAAACGGTATGTCAAGCCAAGCGACTTATCTGAGGGAGATACTGTACTAGTCCGAAGAGACTCGTCTCACAAGAAATCAGCAACACCCTATGATCCTAAACCAAATACAGTGAGCCAACGCAAGGGTTCTATTATCTCACCCAAGAGGGATGACAAGGAAATCACCAGGAATTTTGTCATTCTACAAAAAGGTTGAGCCTCATGCTGTCAAACAAGAGGTAAATATTGATGACGGTGAACCTGAACAGATAGAATTCCCTACAGCAATGGAGGAAGATTCGCCAACTGCAGGACAAGCACCTCAATGGCGCTACCCTATGCGTAACTCGAGGAGGCCACCAGAATACCTCAAAGATTATGTGTGTCACTGATTACAGAGTACTGATTACGGTTTAGTTGATTACAAACAATACAAGGATAGTTAGGAATGGAATGTTATGAGCAACTGTTCCCGATTGTTCCCGATGTATAATCAATCT